GTCATGCTTCTGAATGTATGACATTCTGATGTAGAAGTCTGTATCTCTGAGACACAGCCTTCATGAATCTGAATCTCCACCAGCTAATTTCTACTGTTTTCAAACATATCTTCTAAATTACTCCTTTCCAAAGCTGCTGAAAGACCTTACAATCACAAACATACTTAAGAGAAACAAACAAACATCAATAAATTAAATGTTCTCATATTCAATTTGAGTTTGAAATCTTATGCAATCTATGCCTAATATTCAATAGGCTACATTGAAATATTATGCAAAGATTGCACAATATTTCAGTGTAATCTATTGACTCATTTTAACCAGGCACAAAACCAGGATCATGACTGACACACGTTAATATATGAGCCCAAATAAATACAGTCCTTCAGTGGCTAGCAGTTGAAATGAACAGAAAATAATATATATTATATTGCTTGAGAGTGATGTAATGGAGGATGAAAAGTGATGGTTAAACAAGCAAAGTGATGGTTAAACTTATATACAATAATATCAAAGTGAGCCATGCAGAACTAGCGTAGCCCTATAACTGACAGAAATTTCTAAGACTAGCATGATAGATAATCCACAAATTCAAAACATTTGTAGGATATCTATAAAATATTTACTTCTATCAGAAGTTTTGTGAACTTCTAGAAAGACACAAAGACAGTTTGCTGTTTCAGCATTTCTGGTCCTGTAAAATATAATCCCATCTAAGCTTCCAGTGTTACACTTGCCCTGGTGGTAGACAGCCACTCAACTATAGCAAAGATCTTGGGAAATAAAATGAACTGACATGTCTGAAATCATAATATTCAGGCCTTTTCTGGGACTGCTTCTTGGCTTAAAGTGTAACATACCAGTACCCAAAAGATCCAGAGCACTGGAATAATGCGAGGAAGAACAGTCTTAATTGGTTTTTGAAGTAAAAAAACAAGCCAAAGAACATATGGCAGTTCTGAGGAATGCTTCTCAGAAGTCAGCTCACTGAGGTGAGATATAAATTCTGCACTAATCAAAACTTCCTACCGGCTCACCTCAAGTAGAGTTTATTGCAATAAAGAAGCTGTAGGTGAAAATGGGCCACCAGGAGAACGCTCAGTCCAACTCCTGCTAGAGGAATGCCTATAATAACAAATTAAGAAATGCCCCATCACAACAGAAATATTTTTCAGGAAGTTCTTTAGAACAGCTAGCTACATTAAATGCTGTAGGAGCAGAAGGAAAAGTGTGAGAAGACTTCATTCTTTCTGGACTTTGCATTTATAATCAATGCAATAAAGTAAACCATTAGTTGAATACCATTCCTTAATATCTCAAACTTCAGCAGACTTGAACAGAAAAAGAGAGAAAGCATCAGCTACTGAAGGATATTGATGTTCTTCAGAAAAGCCAACCAAATTAGACTGAGACAGGATCAAACTCATCAGTTCGTCAAGAATGTGTATTTCAAGATTAGCTGTACATAAGGGCTGACTTTATACTTTGCTTCATCTGATCTATTTGAGTAAGTGGGCTGGAAAGAACCATCTAGCTTATTATCCTATCTGTGACAGAAACCATTAGAAGATGATAAGAAGATGATAAGGAGAAGGATACAATAATACAATCGTTTTCAGGGCCCTGAGCGAGTCTATAGGCCCCGATAGCCCTAAGCAGTCTCTCTTGGGGTTCGCAGCCATGCTGTCTGCTGCAGATGAGACCTGGGCTTAATCCCAGCCTGAGCTATGTTGTACTACTTGTCTCTGGCTCTCTTTCCAGGTGCTCCTGACAGGACACTCGAGTGGCTGTTGGGCTGGGTTCACAATCTGCCTTGCCTGGACTGCTAGCAGACCTTGTTCTGCCAGGATGAGGTGTGGTTAATCCACCAGGGAGGGCACAGCCTGTGCTACCGTCATCTTTGGTTTGAGGCCCACTCCTGCCTGTGGAGTTTTCCCACACTTGCTAATGCCTTCTGTCAGTGCAACTGCAACCCGAGACCTTTCAGCATTTCTCCTTTATAGACCGCACTAGCTAAAGGGTTTCCAACCTTTTGGTTTGCCTGGGCTGCATAAAGTAAAGAAGAATTGACTTGGACTGCATAAAAAATCCCCACTGTCCATTTTATGTTATACTCTGTTTAGATTGTAAAGAATTATATCAAGGAGTCTGGTGGGGCTCGTGCTATAAGTGCAGGCTAGAGTGGGAAAACGATTTATGGGGGTTATTTGGGGGAAATTTTAAGGAATTAGGGGTAAGCTGTGGGGACGTTGGAGGAATAACAACTCAACAAGCCCGTATAATGGGAAATAGGCAAGGAAAAGAAGTACCTAAGAGGACACCACTAGGGTGTATTTTGGCACACTGGGGGGACATTGCCAGAAGACCTGGGGGTAGTCTGAGTAAAAAGGCTTTGATAAAATATTGCAGTCAATGGTGGTTGCTGTACAAACTGTAGGATGGGAAAAAATGGCCCCTGAATGGGACTCTGAATTATAACATAATCTTACAATGAATGTTGTTCCAGGGTGGCAATGAGGACATAAATGTCATTTTCCAAAACAGGACCCTCACTGGGATGTGAATGAGAGCGCAGAAAGGGACTGGCTAGTAGCATACAGGGAATGGGTTGTAAAAGGAATGGAAAGGGCTATCCCTATGGCAATCAGCTGGTCTGCTTGTATGCTCTAAGCCAAGGACTGAAGGAAACTCCTTCGGAGTTTCTGGATAAATTAAGAGATGCCATAGAAAGTCCACTTCCCTAGACCTGGGATCAGAGATGGGTATTCAACAACTGATATAATTATTCATAGGACAATCAATAGAAAACATATGACGAAAGCTACAGAAAATGAAGGGTCTGGATGCACGGAATTCAGAAAGTTTACTAGAGGAAGCATGGAGGGTGTTCAGTACTTGGCAGGAGGAGAACCGCTTGAGAAGGGCCAGTGCGCCATCTGCAGGAAAAAGGGGCATTGAAAGAGGGAATGTTCACAGAAGGATCAAAAAAATGGGTGGCATGGGTTAGGATCCAAGCCTCGGTGGAAAGGGATTGACGGGGATCTCGGGAATCTGCCCTAGAGAATCCACTGGTTAAAATTAAGCTAGGGAATGAACAACAGAATGTAGAATTTTTGGTGGATACGGGAGATACTTATTCTGTTTTAAAGGAATTTTTGATGCCATTAAGTGAAAACTTTGTAATGGTAAAAGGGCCCACGGGTCAACCAGAAAAGGCATATTTTTCTAAACCACTGAAGTTTAAGTTGGGAAAACAGAGGAAAATACATAGATTTTTTGTATTAAGTGCTGCTGCCTTTGGCTGTGCCAGCTCAGGGACTGCGGTTGAGGGCAGTTGGGTGCCCATGGCGACAGGATTCTGAGTGCCACTTGCTGGCCCAAACATGGCGGCTGGCAGTTATTTAAAGCAGTGGAGTTGCTGTGTTTGTATCGGCTGTCCTTTGCCATCTCTCAGCTCTGGCCCCGGAGCGTGAGAAGGTGGCATCTCTTCTGCCCTGATGCCAAAGGAGAGGGGTGTGGAGGAGAGGGCCTGGCGTCCTCTGGGCGGCCGCCCTGGGACTGCAGGGGGTGCGTTGGAGGGCCTGTGAGCTCCTTGGGGCCTGGTGCTGGGGTTTTGCACCTGGGGGATGGAAGGCTGTAGGCTCTGTTGATATTTTCACTGTGGGACTTCACAATTTAACTGTTTTCTTTAAGATTGCTGCTCATATTCAATCATTAGAAATGCTTTGAAAAATAAACTTTGGCAGACACAAGGCACATGTGTGTATGTCTGAGGCTGTTCCTTACAGCATTTTCAGACTTGAAGATTTCTGTCATCCTCATAGCTAATGAGTTTCCTGCATTATTTGTATGGGAACTTCTGAATCACGGCCTGAGCCACTGATTGCTCACCTGAGGCGAGCACTGAGTCAGCCATGGGAGCACAGGTGAAGGCGATTCAGCTGTGTGATGAAGGCTGGAGCCTGGCTGCACCTCTCCTAGACCCATTGAAGCGCTGGCTGCCAGGGGAAATGTTCTCTCCTTTGGAGTTTTGCAGTGAGTTCAGGATGCAGGTAAGCATTCTATCTATTAGAACAGATAGAACAAGCTCTCTGGTTTAATTCATAATTATAACATCTCTATATTCATTGATTATATGCTACTGAATGTGATGTTGTGCCTTACTCAACTTATCCTCATGGGAGAGGCAGTGGAGGGGACAGCAAAAGTAGTGGTACTGAGAGCCTGTTTAGGTTGAACACATTGCCAACCAGAACCCCCAAATCCCTTTCCACAGCTCTGCTCTCCAGCCCCTAATCCATCCATATCAATCCATAGAGCCAGGGCTGTTCCATCCCAGGAAGTCAACACTCCTCCCAGTTTAGCATCATACGAGCACGCTGTTATTTAATATCTTTTTTTAATGTTTTCTTTTAAAAATAACGCTTTGTTGTGCCACTGCTGTCCTGATAAATTGTTGGCAGTAGGTCCATGTAAAGCAGGAGGCTGGGCTAGATGATGTACAGAGATCCATTCCAACCATCTTAACCACTGTTCTGTGTCCGTCATTCGTGTTTCTGGTCAAATTCAAGGCAGAGAACTCTTCAGTGCTACAAATGTAAAGCTTTGCAAAGCCAGTTAAGTTTGGTTGAAATATTTACAGCAGGTGTATCACTAGCAGTGTTTTAAGGACCTTCCTTGACACTGTTTTTAAGATAATTGTACACAAAACACATTAGATTCTTGGGCTATTTGAAAAACATGCATTTGTTAAGTGATGAAAACAAATATGTATATATATCAAGCATACATGAGTAAATCACTACTAACATCAATTTTCTAGCACTTACTACTTGTTACATAGATATTCCTTGTTGCACAGAAATGGGTTTATAACAAAAAACGTATGGAATATGGAGGAAAACAGGTGTGTGTACATCTACAGTTAAATATAGGTGTCTAGGCAGACAAATGTGTCTAGTGACTTGACTACAAATTTCAAAAAATCAAATACTAATTGCTCAATCTATATCAATCTCGCCGAAAACATACTCAATGCTTTCCAGTGCATGTTCTCTATTAGATGATCCATGAACAGCATTCGACAAAATATTTTGTGCAAACTGGGCTCGAATTGATTCAGGATAGCTCTCTTTTGCCACTTCTGGGTCTGTTGGACCCATTAGTTTCCTCCACTCTTGGACAGCATTTTCCTTTGTTAAGACCATTACCACAGACGGGCCCCTGTAAAATGGACGTAAGGAAGTTCTTGCACTGTTGTGAGATGCAGATTTAGCTTTAACTTTAGAGATACTGTGAAGGCTTATGGTAAACATGCTGTCTGAATAATGTTAATCTGTTTAAATTTCAAAATGCATTTCTGCAGTGTTTTGTTAAAGGCAGCATAAACCTACTGATACCTGTGTTTGAAAACCACAAAGATGATGACAATCAGCTTTTTGGATTTGGACTTCTTGTCTTTAAAAGACTCTCACTCAAAAATTTCTGAAGCAGGACAATAAGCACTTATATCAAAAGTTACACAAAGATACTATGATAAAAATATTTTACTTGCATGAAATGAGTTACTTGAGAAACACATCCAAAATAATAATTACTGTCCATAATTTTGGAAAGAATTGTGAACTTTCATTTTAAATGAAGGACACTTCATGCTACAAAGTAATTATAAAACACTGAAAAACTGATTGAACTTGCTAGAGAAAGTAACAGAGTATAAAAACATCAGCCCACATAGGGAATTGTTTTGTTGGGTCTATCCATTCAAAGACGTGATGCATAGTTTACATAACTCAGTACTGTATAGCTAGTTACTTACTCAGTCATGCATGCCACTAGCTCTTCAAAAAAGGGTTTTCCTTCATGATCCTTGTAAAACTGTGTAGCCATTTCACGAGTTAAAGCTTCTTCTTTAATTTTTGATATAGTAAACCCAGCATCTTTAACCTTTTGCATAATTTCATCTACAAGAATAAGAAGTAAATTCACTCTTGTTTAAAATAGCTAGTTCAAATGAAAAAAAAAAATTGATGCGAAAACCTCTTTAAATGTTTCAGAAAATATTGCTAGTAGCATTTATTGCTATTTCTGACACTTGACAGAATGTGGAATGTAGTTGTAATGCTATAGCACACACCAGCTGGCCTGATAAAATAAATATAGGTTGTTCCAGGAAGAGAAGAAAGACCAACGAAGCCAATTATGAGTTAACAATTAGAAAGACTACTGAACTTACTAGGAAAGAAGAATGCTAACAAGAGGCTTTGGAACAGAGGTTTAAAAAAAAAAAAAAAAAAAAAAAAAAAGTAGGAGTGAAAACCTTAGGCAAGATTACAAATGTATGGTGTTCTTTTCACTTTGACCTTTCCTCCTCATTCTCTGTGTTTGAGGGCAAGGACAGAACAAAGACAGCAATCGATAGAATTGCAACCCTGAACTTCCTGAGAGCCAACTTTGACTTCTTCAAGAACCTACTTGGAGGTATCCTATGTGTTGGAGCATTGGAAGATAGGAGGCCTCAAAAAGTTGGTTGACATTAAGCAGCACTTATTCCAAGTTCAGGATCAGTGAGTGCATCGCTAAGAGTAAGAAATCAGGCAAAGGTGGCAGGAGACATGCATGGATGAACAAGAAGCTCATGAAAAAACTCAAATGGAAAATGAAAGTCTATGAAATGTAGACAAGGGGTCTTGCATCTTGGGAGGGATATAGAAATGTTGTCAGGGCTTGCAAAGAGATGACAGGGAAGGCTAAGGCCCACTTGGAATTAAATCTGATGAAGGAGGTCAAGGACAAGGAGAAAGGATTCTTTCCTTATGTCAGTAGTACAAGGAAGACTAGGGAAAATGTGGTCCACAGCTGAATGAGTTGAGTGCCCTGGTAATGGAGTAGACTGGGAAGGTGAAGTAACTGAATGCCTTCTTTTCTTCCATCTTTGGTGCTGAGGCTGCCTTGCAGGAATCTCAGACCCTGGAGGTAAGAGAGAAAGTCTGTTTAAAGGAAGATTTCCCCTTGGTTGAGGAGATTCTGTGCAGAGATTGTTCACGTAAACTAATTGCACACAGTGGGTCTTGATGGCAGGCACCCACCATGAGTACTGAGGGAGTTGACAGAAGTGGCTGCCAAACCCCTCTCTATCATCTTTGAAAAGTCATGGAGTATGGGAGAGCTGCGTGAGTGTTGGAAGAAAGCCAGTGTCAATCCAGTCTATAAAACTGGCAAGAAGTGGAACTACAGGCCAGTAGTCCCTGGGAAGGTGATGCAACAGCTTATTCTGGATGTCATCTGAAGTAACAGGAAGAGAATAAGGTATTCTGGAGTAATCAATGTGTATTCTCACCTAGGGGAGATCATGCTTGCCCAATCTGGTAGCTTTCTCTGGGATCATGAGTGGCTGGGTAGATGAGGGGATGGCAGCAGTACATACCTTGACTTCAGCAAGACTTTTGACCGTCTCCCATAACATGCTCATGGGTAAGCTTTGGGGGTGTGGGATAGACTAGAGAACAGTGAGATGGACTGAGAACTGGCTGACTGGCAGAGCTCAGAGGGTTGTGGTCATTGGTGCAGAGTTTAGCAGGAGGCCTGTAGCTAACAGTGTTCCTCAGGAGCTGGTATGGGGTCCAGTCTTGTTCAACATCTACATCTGGATGTAGGGATAGAAGTTTGCTGTTGACATGTAGCTCGGATGAGTGGCTGACACACCATAAGACTTTGCTGCCATTCAGTGAGATCTAGACAGTCTGGAATCTTGGGCAGAGAGGAACCTGATGAGATTCAACAACAGCAAGTGTAGAGTCCTATACCTGGGGAGGAATAGCTACATGCATCAGTACAGGCTAGGGGCTGACCTGCTGAAAAGGAGAAAGGAGATCTGCAGAGAAGGACCTGGGTATTCTAGTGGACAGCAGGTTGGCCATGAATCATCTGGGTGGTGATAAACTTGAACACACAAAGTTCCATATGAAGCCAAGGAAGAAATTTTTTTCTTTGGAGGTTACAGAGAACTGGAACAGGCTGCCCAGAGAGGTTGTGGATTATCCTTCTCGAGATATTCAAAACCTGCCTGGATGCTTTTCTGTGAAACCTACCTGCTTTATCAGGGTGTTGGACTAGACAATCTCCAGAGGTCCCTTCCAACCCCTGTGATTCTTTGGTACTATGATACTATGATTGTACAGGAATGAATCGAACTTAATAGTGGCTCATTTTGAGTCAGTAGAGAAAACTGTCTGAAATCAGTAGTGTGACTTAGGAAAGCCTCTCTACTTAAAAGAACACTGGACAACTAGTTTGGCAGTGTGCCAGGCTTTTAAACTGTTTAACTTAGCTAAGGATATTCTCTTGCTTCAATTCACTAGTACTCCTGTGAAGAAAGAGCTGTAGATTACTTGAGAAAGGAAATGTCACATTTGAGACCTCGATATGAATTATGCAAGCCCTGTAAAAGCACTTATCTGCATGGTAAAAGCATTCTCATAGAATAAATATAATGCACCTGGCATGGTTCACTGCAGTGTACATTGCTAATATTTTGTAGAAATAACATCTGGAGACATAGCCTATGCTTTCTAGATCACTTACCTTTGTGATTTTTAGCAGCAGCAGGTTTGATTAATGCCAAAGTGTGCTCCTGAGGGAAGAAGAACTCTAATTCCTTCTGAGCATCAGTAAGTGAAGAACTACCATGCAGCTGATTAATATCTAAGTTGTCGACTGCATACTTTGCACGTAAACTAAGAGTCATTAAAAGAGTGAAGATATTAAAGGGAATAGTTATTTTGAGCTTTAACTGTGACTAACCTTAACCTACTGTATTGAAATCGATCTGGCAAATTAAATGCTCTGTGATATCTCTGGAGCTGTAAGAAAGAGCAGTCACATTTTTAATTAACCACATGAAATACGATCGCTTTCCTTTCTGTCATCTCATTATATTTCCAAAGTAATACCAGTTTTTGTTTAAGGAAACAATGCTTCTGGCAATAACAAGTAAGATGATGTCACAGCAGCTTATTAGAACAATACTGCAAGCAGGTGAGAAAATAAGGTGTTAATTCATAAAACATGTGAAAGAAACTCTGTCACAAATAACATAATCCACCAGTGAAATTTTTCCTTAATCTAAGAAAACAGGCATTTGGTTTAAAAAAAAAACAATGATGCTATTTCAAACAAAACCAAGCAGAATTCAATACTAGAAGTGCTGTTACTATAATACCTTTTATCCGAGAAAACTTTAACAAGCTGCAGAAATATACATCAGCTTCCAGATGATGGCACTATAGTTACACCAGTTGGAATGTGATATTCATTGAGATGAAGAATATAAAGGTAAATTAGAGGCTGAGGGTGACAGTTTACTATTTTAGGTACTACCTGTTTGGATTTTTCTTCTTTGCCTCTTCAATAGTCTTTGGGCCTAATAAATCTCTCCAGTGTGCTATAGCATTTTGTCGTGTTAGAGCAAGTACAAGTGTTGGACCACTGTAACAGAAAATCAGCATCAAAAACATCAAATATTAAACTCTCTGCAACTGGCAAAAAGAATTTGATCACATGCAGATGAGGCCAGGCAAACAAAGCCTACTACTGAAGGATTTTCAAACCAGTATCTTTTTAAATAGCTACAGCCTGATAAAACCTCATGGAGCTTGAAAGAATTTAAATTTCAAAGTTACTGGTACCAAAATGGCAGGAATGTTGCAGAATTGGGCTGTATCTTTATTATTAGATGCAAAAATACGGATCAGCTCCTAAGATTTTGTATGCATCCCAGCCGTGTTACAACTTCATTGGAAGACAATATCCAAATATGATTGTTTTTTTTTCCACTCTGAAAAGTCCAACACACAACCTGAACAAAGTTTACTCCTATAGACAATCTAAGTGCTGCTCTCCAGAGCATAGCTCAACTGTTTTCCTTCAAATCAACCAAACTAACCAACATCCTGCAGTTGTGAAGTCGTGGTAATTTTTAAAAATCTGATTTTTCTACTTGGTAATTATCTCATTGTCTGCATTTGTCTGATTCTGTTTTGAATTTTACTAAACTCTCAGATGTGATGGCCGTGAACTATTCAATTCAGTTATTTGTTGTGAAAGTTTCAGTCTCGTTTATAAATCCACAGTCTCATTTTTCATTGACCTTACCTGGTCATTTGTTCTAGCAGTGCTGGGAAATAGTCTTCGTTTTCATGTTCTTTATAAAATTCTCGTGCTTGTTCTTCAGATAGGGTTATTTCCTTCTGCATCGCTACCTCAAAGCCATCATCTTTTATGCTTTGCATAATGGAATCTGTTTAAATTATTGAAATAATGCTAAATCACTGTCCACCCAACAATTCATACTCTTGCGAAGAAACGACGTGGACTTCCAATAATAAATTGAATTAGAAAAATAGCAAGCTAGTTTAAAGCAACTGCTGGATGTTTTTGGCAGCTGCCTGGATGCTCATAAAACTGATCCTCGCTCTCTTAAGGTTTTCTCTCACTTCAGAAATCTCAGTAGGGATTCCTGACTGAGAAATTTGATATGCACTGCATAAATGAAGGAAAATACGGAGAATTTGTGTAGACAGATATTAATTTAACCAAATCTTACGAGAACATGCTTACAAATATCAGGCACAAGTCAAAAGTATAAGTCTCTATATACAGGACTGTATATAGATATATACCTGTGTATAATTCTCTATATACAGGTAAAATGATTCTTCTTAGCAAAATTTTCTTGATAGTAATCAAGAAAATAAATGCACGGAAAGATCAAAATTCTAGTGTTACAAATCTTTGTGTGTATGTCAATTCCAGAACAGAAATTCTTGAATTTGAATAAGAAAGCTAACTATGATCTAGCAAGAGATATAAATATACGTAAGAAGAAACTTGTTTGGATGGAGCTTTGTACTAATGGGGTAGATTTTGTGATCCAATCTATAGACACCTTGTCTGTATAAATGTATTTGTGTGCAGCAGTGTCTTATGCAACATAGCACATCCTGAATCATATCTCTTTCACACTTGCCATTGGTCTGCTCTGGACCATGCAGTCAGGGACAGTATCAGCTACTACGTTATGGTGGGAAGTATGTTATGTTACAGTATACTTTGAAAATCCCAGCTTCTTTGAGATGTTTTCCGTAAGCTTTATAAAGATAGCCTTAAAATATCAAATAAAGGAACAAAATGGTTTTGACATTTATATTCTAAATATATCAAACACGAGCCATGTAATTTTTCCTGATAAAGATTACTGACAACTTAATGCTGAGCAGAGAAGATGATCTACCTCCTTTCCATTAGTAGAGTTAGAATTCTTGAAGTTCAAAGTATGAGACTTTATTTGCCCTAGATGGAAAATGTAGTTACTAAAACTTACCCCGTCTTTCTCTTAGGACACAAGGTCTAATTAAGGCCAACGTCTTCTCAAATTTTTGTTCTGTGCTCTTTCTATCAAAATTTGGGAAAAAGAAGGCGAGTTGCCTGCTAGCATCTTCTAAGCTGTCTGGCACATCACATATATTTGATATAGTCTCATTTTCTTCAGTTCTTTGCAGCCTAGAAAGACATAGTTGTGCCATCTTTTAGTCAATTACAAGTTGTTTTTTGACATTATTATTATTTTGACATTTTTTTACGTACTTGACATTAGAGCAAAACAGACATTCCAAGATGTCATGAATGTGAACAGCCAATCCTTGCTATCTACTGAAGTATCTCAGTTGAAAACAAACCAACAACAAAAACCACCAACCTGCAACCTCTCTCACTTGTTTGCAGGCTTTTACACAGTGATCCCAGGGCATACAGCATACTTCAATCACTGTCTTTGTGAACTAGTGTGAAGTGGAATTGCATGGACTACAGCAGCTTTGAAGTACAGCACTGTTCCTCTTAGACAACTTGTGCAAGTCTAGTTCTGAATTAGCAAGAAGTCAGCGCCCTTTGCCTGTTGTCTTTCTCTGGGAAGCATGGAGTTACTATGTTCCTCAAGAAGCATATCAGATATCAGTGTACACATGTACATATCAATCAGATATGTAATGATGGTCTTTGTTTATTATGTTTTTGGAATACTGTAACTTAATCACACATTGCAATTAACAATGTTATTTACCTATCTGTTTCTTCAGCCTCAGCCTCACCAGGCATGCCTTCACTTGTTTCATGCAGTTCTTTCCAGAGAGGAATAGCATCTGTTCCTTTTTTTTTAGTGATTATCAGAATATGGCACGGTCCACTCATCATGAATTGAACAAAATCATCAAAATCAGGCTAAAAAATATAATTTTTGTTTCACCATGAATTTCACAAACTCTGACTTTGTCATCAGAAATGAAGTCATACTTTTTAAGTAGCACTCCTGTTCTTAAAAGGCATTAGTATTGGTTATTCAAAACCCTGTCAAACTGTTTGAAAGACTTTTTATCAGTCATTTGAGGAAATAAAACTATAAAATGTCTAAAATGCAATTAATTGAGGTAAATGAAGTAAGAAAAGTAAATTAAGCAAGCACTATATATTACTCCAGTTTGAAGTGCAAATGATGAGAGAAGAAAATGACCTAGAAATTAATCCAACCTGATCAGATGCTGTGTTTGCAGTAGCACTTACCACATGCTGCAATACAATTCCATGCAGAATTTTTGAAACCAAAACTCAACTAACTCATAGGAAATATAGAACAAAATATTTGCAAGAAATCTGTGTGCTTTTCCATCATTGTCTTTGCCAGATTCTTTCCACTCTTCCAGCTTTAGTCTTCAATCATGTGAAAGACATTCTAATCAGAAAATAACTTTCCAAGCTCTTGTAATTTTCTTGTACTGGGGGCCAGTGACAAATAATGTAACAGGCTTCTCAACAAGCACAGAGCCTTCTGAACTGCTCCTGATAGTTCATAGCAGTTTTCTGTGAACTTGTGAAGCACTGTATGCTTTCTCCTTGTCTTCCTCCTATGTCACCCACTGCATCTAACCTCAATTTCGGCTGCTGTTCTCATGAAGACAACATATACTTGTATTTCAAAACTGGCTCTGTCTGTCTAAAGTGGAATCCCAGGTTGCAAAACCATCTCTTCATAATTCCTCACGTGCTCAGCCTGTTACTTCCTTTCCACACAGTCTTATTTCACTCTTGCTCACTTGTAGCACCTTAGGAACATTTTCTCAGCTTCTTGTTTTGATTATATCAACCTTTTATTTTTACTGTGGTCCCTCTGATAATATCAAACTAGGTGTCTCCTTATAATTCCAGACTACCTTATATACATTTTAAATAAAAATATTTACTCAGAGGCATTAATTTTTGTTGGGATACAAACCCTTCGGTATAGTTAACTTCAGCTAACTTCTGCCAAAAATCATGGCAAAATCCAGTTGCTTCTTTGCTAAAACATTGCCATTAGAGTAAACAACATCATTTCATTGATTCCTTGAACTATCTGCAATTTTCCCTGGTATAGGATAGAGACAGGAAAATAACCTTTTCTGGAGATGTTTTATCATTCTGCTTGTGCCTGGGCTTATTGCCAGTACTGTCCAATGACAAAAATAGTGAAGGAAAGCAAAAGTAATTCATGCTATCATTTATTTCCTGACTGGAAGACATAGGCCATGATTAAGGATCAAGCACATTCTGATAAGAGAAAGAAGTAGTAAAATATTTTAGTTTTTAATTGGAGTTTAATATAACTTAGTAGAAGTGTTGGAGTGCTACCAGGCTATATTCGTAAAAAGAGAGTAAGAAAAAAAAGAGATCATTTTATTTCTTTTCTGTGTACTAAATGTCCACTAATTCAGTTCATCAACATATTAACGAATTAAAGTCTGGAGATTTAAAAATACGTGCAGCCACACTGATATACCTTACCCATTCCTTTTGTTCAGGTTTTTTCTTCTGTTTTTATTTGTGAGTGGGGTTTGTTTTTTCCTACCTGTTCTCTTTTCTTGGTGTAGAATTCTCTGATTTGCTCTTCACTTAGCATTTTCTCTTCTGATGCTGCAATGCCAAAGCCTGCGTCTCTAATCTGCAATTATTCAGTCATTACTCAGTGGCATTTGATGAAAGATGCATATAAAATCCTATGTAAACCTAGAGATGATTGATTATGGATGCTATTTTAAATTTGAATTATCTGAAATATTCCAAATATAACATTATGTTTGTGTAAACTAAAATTTCAGCTTTTCAAAGCCCTTTACTGGATTCAGGATAGCAATGTTCACTATGTTAAAGTTGCAGTGCAGTATATGCATTCATGCAGTGGTCAGTAATTCTTTTTATTTAACATCAAATATATATATTTTTTACTATTGTAAATGATAAACATGCAAGTACTTCTAAAAATCAGTTATAATCTGCATTATAATCACAGTAACCATGTAAGTGTGTGTTTGTCAGTAACTGTTGCAATACAAATAGGCTGAACTTTACCAGACATGAAGAATAGCAGATATCAGTAATAAGATATATTTTATGATTAACTGTTTTTAATTACATTACTGCACTAAATTCAATATGCACTTGCGTGATCTGTATCAAAATTCATAATCTCACTGATAAGAGATTTATACCATATACTTATATCTAAACAAAGACAGCATAATTCAGCTCCATGTGCTGATATCAGCTTACTCACAAACACTCTGCTCTTTAAAATCCCCTATGATGCTGCTGAGTTTTTACATTGCACTGCAAAGTTTGTAGGTGGAAACAGCAATGGTACACATCTCATAAGGCAGCATACAGATAGAGCCAACCAACAGCTGCTCAGCTACATCTAAATTGCCTTCAAACACTGCTTGCTCTTTCTGCTTTTATTGAGCCTCCTTCCTTTCTTGTCAAGATGGAGAAAGGGCAGAAACTGGGCATATAGCACTAATTTTCCTATTTATGTCACAGACCCTCTCAAAATACTTTTTTAAATTAAAATGTTATCCTGGTATGTAGTGTTATGAGCTTTTTTTTTTTTTTTTTAAATCAGAAGCAGTCAGCTAGTCCTATAATTATAGGAATGATATACATATATACTATAATACTACCATATTATATTCTGGAAGGAAAGAGAATTTCTCTTTTCTTGTTTGATGACTTAAATAAATCCAGAATCCTCTGATGTACTGAGATTCTTATTAGTGTCCAGTGTCTGATTGCTAGTGCACACAAATCAATTTGCAGGCATATGCTAAGTCATTTATGTGCATATACACACTATAAACAGCATAACAGGCTGATTAGTTGCTCTATGTGTGCTGACAGTTCTTAAAGACACTGTGCAGTGAGGAAAAATATCTTCTGCGGTTGAAAGGATGAACTTCACCACTGTAGTTTCTAGATCTCATTTCTATTACAGTATGAGAAAAAAAGGCACCCTTCTGCTTGTGGATTTCATGTGTCAGTGATCTCCACAGTATAAATCCATGTCACAGAATCACAGGATCGGAGGGGCTGGAAAGGATGTCTAGAGAATATTGAGTTCACCCCCCTGCTACAGCAGGCTTCCTACAGCTGATTGCACAGGAAAGCATCCAGGCTGGTTTTGAGTATCTCCAGAGAAAGACATTTCACAACCTCTCTGGGCAGCCTGTTTCAGTGCTCAGTCGCTCTGACAGTAAAGAAGTTCCTCTTTGTGCCCCAGTTTCTGCCCATTGCCCCTTGTATTATTGTTACTTGCCACCAAAAAAAGTCCATTCTGCTTTGACTTGATTCCTGCACTTATAAACAGTAATTAAATCTACCCTCAAACTTCTCTTCCCCTGACTGACCAGTCCCAGCTCTCCCAGCTTTTCCTCATGACACAGTTGCTCCAGGCCCCTCATCATCTTTACATATATGTATATAATATATAATACATATGTCATATGTTACTTACTGGCATAAAATATTAAAGCAACAATATCAATTCAAATACTATGTTATTTCAGGGTAAAATTAACTTGCTTTTACTATCCTTATCAGAGATGCATTAATAAGCACTGCTACAAAGCCTGGAAATAAATCAAGATCAATTTGATCTTCTGTCCTACTGTGCCACCTAACTGAAAAGGGTGAATGAATCTTTTCAAGTTCTGTCTACCTTTTGTTTAATTTCCTCTACACGTCCCTCCGAAACATCATCAGGTTTTATAATTCCAACAGAGTATGTGACTTCTTCTTCTGGAAAACACAAAAAATCATGTAGCAATGAATATGTATATCAAAATAAATGTACAGCTGAATTTTCCATTACTTACAAGTGAGTCCCAATAAATACGTCACTATTTTAGGATTGAGATGATCAAGAAGTTTTTCCAAGAAATAAGTGACTCCAGCACATAAAGCATATCTTAAAGTCTGGGACAGTCCTTGGTCATCTCTAGAATCCATATTCCTGGTAAACCACTGGTGTTTTTGGGTCACATGGTAGAGAAATGTTCTACGTGCTGCTACTGTGGTGCAAAATCTACAATTTAAAATGAATGCTTTTTCTAGGAAGCTTTTCTATGAGCAAGACTAGAAAGTGAAAAGAACAAATACTACTGTGAAAATCTCCTATGATTATCAGAGATTTCCAGTAAAATGTACATTTCTTGTCTCAGTAGATGTTTATTTCCTTTCCATTGAGTCATTTGCAATAAGAACTGCTGAAGTAGCAGCTGCTTGCTAGCACAATCTAACATTAACACAAGAGGTGTTCCTGCTCAGGCATGCTATTGCATCATACATAGCATACACATAACTGCAAAATTAAAGTGTTCAGATGAAAATATAAACTATATCTTTGTAGAAAGTGAGGTTTACATTTAGGCATTAAAATGTAATTCAGTAAGATCTCAAGCACTGCAGAAGCAGTTAATGACAGCTCTACTGGAAACACAAGACAAAATCAGTTGCCAATACTAGAAAACACTGAAAGGCACCTGCATGCAGTAAGGAATGTATTACAGCAGAGTATTAGAGCTTCAAAGCTTCTGTTCCTTAAGCTGGAGCTGAATCCAAATTTAAACTCTTTGCCCTGCTTTTGTTATAAAATTAACTTCTAAAATAAATCAAATGTATTTACCCTCAGGTACAGTCTCCTCAATAGACTCTTCTGACAATTTCTCTTCTAGGAAAACAAGTTCATCCACCTAGGGTAATTGTAAAAACAGAAGTAAATCACCATTGTGAATCTAAAAGTACAAAACAGCATTAGATCTTCACAACACTTTTTTCTTAAAGTGATAATATATTTGATAATATATTTGCTACCCAGGAAAGCCTGCAATTTGAAGGGAGACTTTGGGCTAGCCTGATTTTCTGTAAGCGATCTATAGTTTGTTTAAAGTTTCCTTTTTCTGAATATGGAAAAAAAATGACTCAAAAAAAAATAAAAAGATAATGAGTTCAACTAGTGACATTATCTGCTAGGGACATTTCGTTAGCAGCCCATCCCTCCATTTCTCTGAATAATATAGCAATCTATAATTTTCCTCCAGTTCTGAAAAGTAAAGGGATTTTTCTGAAAAGAAAAAAAGAAAAAATCCATTTATTATAAAGTAAAGAATTTTTTAAAAATTAAACATTACAGAAAGTAACAGGCATTGAGAGAAACCCATAAAATGTTGTAAAAATACTTATTTATATCTATATCTGTATCTATATCTATATCTGTATATTTTTGTGAATACCTTGGGGCGTTCCTTCTGTCCAGCCAGAATTTCCCTCTCTTCTTGTACTAGTTCTGTTACTTTCTTACTTATAAGAGGAGCATTTGCACCTCTCACTATTGTAATAATTTTGCCGTTCTGTGAAAGAGGAAATAACACTCACTGTCAGTTCTTGTCTCCTAGTTTACACATGTACTTCAGTTTGGGAACATACTATATTTTGTGGGTTTTGTGTTTTTTTTTCTCCAGAAATATCACCACTTTGCCCACTGAAGTGAATACCAGAGACACTAATTTCTCTGCTGGTTCAGAATGAATCTTTCTCATCTTCTCAACTTTATTCTTTCTTTTTTTGTCTAATTCTCTGTTTGTTTCCAGACTTACCAAAAGAAGTAAAAAATAAATGCAAATAACTAGCTCACAATTATAAGGGTCAGCCTTTTTAAAAAGGAAGAGGACAGATTTAGATTGCATATAAGGAAGACAGTAGAACAGGTTTCCCAGAGAAGCTGGGGATGTTCTGTCACAGAAGTTTTCAAAGTCAGTTTGAACAGAGCATTGGTCAACCTGATCTAGTGAAAGATGTCCCTGTTCTTGGCAGAGAGGCTGGAACTGGATCGTCTTTAAGAACAAAATATCCATTCCAGAGTAGCTAAATGTAGGCACTTATTTGAACCAACCCCAGAAAAAAACTGATTTTTCAGTCACAAACTACCAAAAATGTGGCTACCACAAAGCTGTGCTGGTGCTACATGCAAACGCAACAGAAATGTGCTCAAGAGACACACATGGTAATAAACCTTAAGTAAACAACATCTGGTAATAAAATCCCATCTACTGTAAAAACATGACTTACACAGCTTTATATTTATTTCTAATCTACTGAAAAATTAATGCAAAAATAGGTGACACATTAATAGAAACAGATGCAGGGTACTCACAACACAAAAGAGAAACACAGGTTCACATTTATTCCTAAATGGTTGCAGAGTCTCAATGCTGTCAGCTTCTGCCTGCAGTCAGATGAAGACAATTACGTACTTGTTTGTATCTATGTATCATATGTACGTGTGTACGTAAAATCTTTTTTGCTTGAAAGAAAACTGCAGCCATGTAACGTGTTACATCACCTCAATAATGCTTTATGCCACTTGCTGGTGATGAAGAAAGAACTGATTTGACGTGAGGTTGACATACAGAAACAGGGAAGCAGTACATGCAGTCTTGACAGAAGCAAATATCCACCTTGCTAAGCTCTTAGCTCTGCTCACTTAGCTCTGCTAAGTGATGTGGTCAACTCAGCGAAAAAGCACTTCAGATTAGGAAATTTGGGGGATATTAACTCTCCTTCTATGGTAACTTTTTTCCAAATGTAATCCGTTTCTAATCTGCCTCTGAAGGAAGTCTTATAAGGATGTTGTGAAGAAAAGGCAACCAGGCCAAAATTGTAACGGCTCAATTGATGTAAGGAAAGCAAAATGAAAACGCCGTACATACAGACAGATAAAAAGATGCATTTATCATAAACTATACTTAAGTTCTATACAAAATGTACATCCTTACCACTGCAAAATGCAGCACATCATCTTCACTGAAGTCATTCTTCAGTTTTCTGAATAAATTTACCACAGCTTTGCAAGGGCCGCACCAAGCTTGATACACATCTATTACTAAAATATGTTTTGAAGTTATAAACAGCTGACTAAAGAAACTTAGAAAAGTAAACATACTTATGAGTGTGTTGGAATGGGACTAAGAAGATAGTTACCTATACCATCCAGTCCTCTTCTAATCAATAAGTACTTCACGTATGTATTGAGTGGATACATCACGGTTTCCTCTTTTATTTCTATTACTTTTGACAGCAGAGATCTACTTTGCAATACTGTTTGTGATGATTAATCCAAACGGCTACATTTCTTTCTTATTTCTTTTTCTTTTGATGATTATTTTTCCCCCCCACTGTTGCTTTTCATTCTTCTCAAACTTTATTCTACATTTCCTACCCCAAGAGCTCATACATATAAATCCTTTCCCATCATTGCTATCTGTAGGTACAATCCAATTTCAGATTTGTTTTCTGTACCCAAATACAAATCCCCAGAGATCCAGGAGATTTTGTTATTGTACTCAGGGTACTGAGAGCTGGAAAAATACAGAAGATGCACTCTGAAAAATGCTGACTGATTAACTGATGAGTCTTTCTGTATGGCATTAATTTAGTCCCTATGAGATTTTAGGGAAAACCTTCCACAGAAATGTACTAACACTGATCATTAAAAAATACTTGAAATGGCACTTAATAAACATTAGTATATGAAAGTGGATAAAGTAGTGGATAATATGATTTGTAATGTATTTATTTGTTATGGAAGACAACATTTATTCATAAACACTATTTATATTTAAATATATTAACATAATTATTGTTTAGGAGATAGCATGGTACTAGTCTTTGTAGCTTTCTGTATTACAGATGGGATGATATATAAGAAACTGTCAGAAAGCAGTAATAGTCAGTACCTACTACGCCTTTTGTCAGCAACATTTCATCCCACTCATTTTGGTTGCATATTGTGGTCTGAAATAAAATGAATTGACATTTTAACAGATATGAAAGACAACAAACAAACAAAGCTTTTAATGTCTGGAACTGATCATGTAATTAGAATTTATACCTGAAGCTGAATTTCTTTCTTCTTGCCTGCCATCTCCCTGTAATTACAGGAAGCACATCAAAACTTGAGGAACATTTAATAATTTTAAAGAGAAGTGAGCCACATTTGTGACATGTAGAACTGATTTTTTCAACTTAGCACTGTATTCTGATTCCCTTTAAACTTAACTCCACTGAAGCTCCTATAATGATGGCAGTTTAAACTTCACATCAGCATTCTGTGGAGCAGTATGAGACTTGGTAGCAGAACCAACATAGCACAGGAAACTGAATAAAAGTTATCTTCTTAATCTCTTAGGATCCTCAGTGTTCTTTGGCCTCAAGCATATTTCAAATTCGTAATTGCTCTGATAAGAATGACCAAAGAACCTTGGATAAGATGACAGCTGCTGTGACAGTGAACCATTTCAGAAAACTGATGATTAAAGAGCTTCAACTCAGAATGTCATTAGATCAAGTTCCTTGTCTTCTAGAATATATGTAAAGCAATGATTTTCATGTGTCCCACAACTGAACTGCCAAAATGAATCATGATGCATTCATCATTCCCATCGTTAATAAAACATACCCTTCTCTCTCTCCCTCCCTTCCTCTTTTTAATAGATGTTTAAGTTTGATCTGAGTGGAAAAACTATCTACTAAATTACATACTTGGATGAAGTTTGATTTCAGTTTGCAGGCGGATGTTGGCTGAGTGATAAATGTGTCACTGGATCAGCAGCAGAAGTGGAGGTTTTCACAGCTCTTGGTTAAGATAGTGGACTTTGTCATGGGGAAAAGGAAAGTGCCACCATGAATGTCACCTCTGTTATCTGTGTGCTGTTATTTGACAGCTCGAGCAGTCCAGAGGTAGAAGTGTTCTGTCATTCACACTGGAGCTGCTCCCTTCAGAACAAAGACAGAGGTGTAGAGACCAATGCAAAAGACAACTCTTTCTTGATGCCTCCTCTGTCTAATTCACATATGAAAATAGACCTGGGTGCACACCAAAATGACATTAAAAACACATGATCTTTGCACACACACTCAACACCTTAGCACAGACCTTCATGCACACATACACTGGAATGTTCTGGGTTTCTTCAGTCTGGAGAATAGGAGGCTTCAGGGAGACCTTATCACTCTCTACAGCTACTTGAAAGGAGAGTGTGGCGAGGTGTGGATTGGCCTCTTCTGCCAGATAACTAGCAATAGGATGAGAGGGAATGGCCTCAAGTAGCATCAGGGAAAGTTTAGGCTGCATGTTAGGAAAAATTTATTCTCAGAAAGAATGGTGAGGCATTGGAACAGGCTGCTCAGGGAGGTGGTAGAATCACTGTCCCTGGAGGTGTTCAAGAAAAGGGTAATGTTGAGAGAGGTGGGCACTCAAGGGTTGATGTTTGGACTGGATGTGATCTTTCAAACCTTACTGATTCAATGATTCTGTGATTCTATTATTACCAAGCACTTGTGAGATCAGGCCATGCCCCTGTGCATACAAACAGACAGACAGACACATACATAACAGCCTGTGCATTGGATCTTGTGCAATGAGGTCACCCCACAGCCTTCTTTTCTCTTTTTGCCTGGAGAAAAGAAGGCTGTGGGGTGACCACATTGCGGCCTTTCAATACCTAAAGGGAGCCTACAGAGGGGAGGGGAATCAACTCTTTGAAAGGGTTGATATGTGTAGGACGAGGGGAAATGGTTTCAAGTTGAGGGAGGGAAGATTTAGGTTGGATGTCAGGAGGAAGTTCTTCACATAGAGAGTGGTGAGGTGCTGGAACAGCTGCCCAGAGAGGCTGTGGATGTCCCATCCCTGGAGTTGTTCCAGGCCAGATTGGATGGGGCCCTGGGCAGCCTGGTTTAGCATTAAACGTGGAGGTTGGTGGCCCTGCCTGTGGCAGGGGGGTTGGAGATTCATGATCCTTGAGGTCCCTTCCAACCCTGGCCATTCTGTGATTCTGTGATTGATAGTGTGTAAGAGTGGATCCCAGATAACAACCAGCGGTTTGAGACACACACCTCACCACGCAAAGCCCTGTGCCCACCCCTCATCACACACAGTGCCCACAGCACCCACGTCTCTGCCTCACCTGAGGCCACCTGTCCGGCAGCACCTCCCAACGGCCCAAACGGCCACCTGCCCACTGACGGCTCCTAACGGCCCTAACAGCTGCCTGTCTGCTGGTGCTTCCCGGTGGCCCTTCCCAAAGCCCAGAAGATGAAGGTTAAAGGCAAGTACCACTCTCTGTGGAGTTACAGGTTTAAAAATCACTGCGGGTCTAAGCGTCTCTAAGCTACACACATCTCACATCTGCATGTTTTTCCTGCTTCATGAAACGCCAGTGCTTTGAATTTCCTCCCGAGGCCCTGTCTGGCACACCGAGTGCTGTCATGTGCATTGCTAGCACCTTAAGAACACCTAGTTCTGGTGGATTGCTTGTCACTTTACATAAATCTTTCAGGACTATTCACCAAAGCATGACTTGCAAGGCCCCTTACTGAAGAACTCATTTTATTTCCAGAAACTAATATGAAGAAAAAGATAGGCCAGTGTCATGTAAAGGTGCTAGAATGGAATTTCTGTCTTGAAGCAAAGTCATCCCAAGCTGAAGTGTGCTCATTTCACAGCAGGGGGAACAAGACAACATTTCCACAGAGCTGCAGAAGTTCTCAATGCTGAGGCTATGCTGTGCCCTGACACCTTGGATTAGACTGATATTTTTTTTTCCAGTGGAAAACTCCAGCACTGAAACTGGGATAAATTCTGCATTGGCCTGCTTGGAAGTCACAGGGTGCACTTACATAGTCTTTCTTTCTCTGTGTGAAGTGAAAAAAAAAGAAAAAAGAAAAAAGGTCTTTCCAAAATCATGATAGGCTTACAATATTAGAGCTACAAAGAAGGAGAGATTAAGAGATTAAACTCACCCTCTAAGCAGAAGTTTAAGCTCCTAAACATAGGATCTGTTTTTGGAGTTTCCTTTGCAAACTGCTTACTGCTTTAGCCAGACCACTTTCTTCACAAACACATAATTTAAATATATATATATATATATATACATACTAAAAAACTAGTGTTGAAGAGAAGCATTAGAAAGGGGTTCTGATGTATGTTAAAAGGCTGATGCAGCCTGTTCTCTACCCACTCAGCTAGAAAGCATTAAGTTTTGGGTATTTTGGATATCACATGATACTTAATGCAAAGGAATGTCATTTGAAGATTTGGTATTTTAAAATATTTGCCTCAAAAGAAGAGGCTGATACTCACCTTATTCATTTGCAGAATTTAGAAACACAAAGTAAATGGAAGTTTGAATTGAGTTGTTTGCTAATCTGCAGTGAACCTCTTCCTCTCAGGTCTTGTGCAGTAGAGCCCTCATTTCTTAAGACTGTCAACATTTTTGATGAGCAGTTATGTTTACATAGTACTGCCCACTAATTGCTGGTTGGAGGTTGGGTGGGATGGGGAAAGGGAAATCAAATTTAAGGGCTTTGGTTATGGAAAAATATTTTCTCCAGTTTTTTATCTTTCTATGCTCCTCATTATATTGTACTAGTTAGAATTTATTTTTGGAGTAACAGACAATGACTGTTTCTTCTCTTGATCCCTTGAGAGATGTTTATAACATTGTCTACACAGACCTTGATTGAAGGTTGAACCTGATTTCTGTGTCATGTTTTTCCCCACAGGAGGTATTTTATTTAGTCAGAGTGTTTTAGCTGCCAGCTTATACAGTTTCAATACAGTTTGTTGATTTTATGTGGTGTTCTTCAGTGATAAACACTCTTGATAGACTGCAAATCTTCACTTTTGGTGGGACAAGTATAATAAAAAGATGCCTCTTTAGTTTATAGCTTAGAGCTCTGTATAAGTCTCTGAGAATTTAATAATGACATGCTTAGCTTAACCAAACCAGAATTTTTAGTTGTTATTAGAAACAGCATCAGAGAAAAAGGATTAGGAATATGCTGTGGGTTTTTGTTTTTGTTTTTTTTGACCAAAATGATTCTGAAAATGTGCTGAAAATATGCAATGGATAAAACAGAATGGGTTCATGATGAATGACAATTCTTTTGAGTAACTTTACAACTATTTCACTCTCAACTGTATTTTGAGCGTACCAAATGATTTGTATGCTCTTTGTCACGAGATATCAATGCCCAGAATGACACAGTTTCAAATGACGAACATTCTTTTACAGAGTATGAAAGCTATTTGTAGGCATTGCTGAGATCAGCAAGTAACCTTTGAGATTAAACTGGAGATGGATCTTCCCTGCAAGTCAGTCTCTCAGTGTGTCCAAATACACGCCTGAGTGCCAGTGCCTGTGATGACTACCTGCTAATAAACACACTGAAGATCTTAATCACCTTAACGTATTTATGATCTTTTGTCTCTTCTGTAGCTGTATAGTCTGTGTGCATGATGGTGTTGTAAGTTATTCAATCCGTGCCTTTCACTTGGTAGACTTCATGGATTTGTGCTGTTGTTCCTCTATTCTCTGTCAGAATTCCCTCTAGGATTGCTAGTAATGAGAGAACTTCTGATCTTCTCAGCTCTTGTGCAGACCTGTTAGCTTGGCAGTATAGCAGAGCATGACCTTTGAAAGCTCTGTATGTGTTTACCGTTTTGTTTCTGCTTTGCCTACTGGTAGATTATGGATCTGAAAGCAGTGGAAGAGCTTTCTGGTTTCTTATTTCTCTTCTTCTTGGGGAATACAGAAAGAAAACATCTGAAAGGGTGAAGATTTTAATATCTTCAAATTAAAAACAGTGATTTTGATTCAGAAAGCTGGAAAACTTAAGAAATTGCTGCACGCAGTGGCATGTGCAGATCTTGAGTGTAGCAAACATCACAGAGTCCCTTTCCCAGCACCCACTTCAATCTTCTAACAGTTTCATCCCTTTACCACATCTGAGCCCATGACTACCCCAGGTGCCATAGACTGTCTCTTTTTCTTTTGCATAAGGCTGCCTGGTCTCTGTCATATTCTAGAATCTACCTCAGACAAAATCCTTGGCACAGAGAAAGGGGTTAAACAGACCAAGATG